ATGAATGACCACCAGGAGGAAAAGCTGTAAAATGTGTGAAAACACTGTTAAAAATCCAAAATCTGTGCAAATCTGTGTCATTTACATTTCCAAAGCCGGATTGAAGTGTTCGCGTTACTTGGTGTAAAGGATTATTATTTTGTCCAGTATTAGCACTACTTATCATGTTATTTTAAATGTTGACCATCTTTCCTAATACTACAGGGTGGGCCATTTATATGGATACACCGTAATAACATGGGAATGGTTGGTGATATTAAAGTCCTGTTTGTGGCACATTAGTATATGTGAGGGGGCAAACTCCTCAACATATAAATGGTCCACCCTGTATTGTTTCTTTTGTAAGTTCTAAATTAACTTAAGTCACTTTACGCTTTTGCACACGTCTGCTCAGGTATCCGCAGTAATAAGCATTCCACTGTGGCAGTGGTTTCTGCAGAGATTTGGGAAGAAGACGGCAGCTTTTTGTGGCATCACTGTGAGTAAATTGGTTTTATTTTGTAACATTCAGCTTTGACCATCAGACTTTTTGTTTGTGCCTTCTTGTGGATGAGCTTTTAAAGTGTTTGTCTTGACCAAAGAAGCAGTTTTAAGAAAGTTTGTTTTTTATGGATGTGTGTTTGTCTCTCCAGTGGATCCTGCCCTTCACACTGATGCTGGTGTTCATCCCTAACGTCATAGTGGCTTACGTTGTGGCCGTCTCCTCTGGACTCACTGTGGCTGCATCGCTCCTCCTGCCATGGTGAGACTCAACAGTTCAGATGAAACATGCTCGTCAACATAAATTAGTTGTAAATATTTGTGCTAAAATTTTAAAAGCCCTGTAGTGAACGGTCCCGTGAGCGTCCCTGCCATCTGCTAAGTAATATAAATTTGGTTGCCCCGCCCCTTGTTATAAAGGATTAAATAAAACTGAAATCCCCTAAGCCGCTGATATTGTTTACCTAAATTCAACCCTGCTATATGTACGCTCTGCTGTTCATTTTAATCCCCTTTGATTTGATGCAAAATGTCATTAATCAAGCCATTCTGTCAGAGGGCACTGAGCGCTCACCAAGGTCATGCCACGGTCATGAAATGATGTCATTTTTAAGAATTACAGGACCCGTCTACTATAAATCTTCCATACCATCACAGAGCCCCGGGAACGCCGGAGGTATCACTACATCTGTTTTCCAGTCATTGCTAAGGCCCTCGCCTCTCCTCACTCATCTCTTTTCCCCTCCCTTTAAAAACCTAAATTACAGCCTCCTGAGGGGGGCCTGTTTATTTTGGAAGGGGCTGATTGTTTATCCTGTCCCGCCCGCTGCTCATCATCTAATCGTGTTATTAGCTCTGTAATTTTGGC